GGGGGTGGCGGGGGGGAGCCGTTGGAAGCACGCGGCATCGCGCCGGGTACGCTGGTAACAGCCGTGCGGTGCCACCCGCAGCAAGACTACCTGATGCTGTGCGCCGTGGACGAGGCGGAGGAGATGGTGGACGGCGGCAAGAAGGACGCGATCGACGACCTGAAGGAAGGGGAGCTGGAGGCGTTCGTCAGCTCCCTGGGGCTCCGGAAGTATGCGCAAAGTTGCCTGGTGGTGGAGGGGGAGGAGGAGGGCGGCGGCGGCAGCGAGGGGAAAGAGAAGCCCCCAAAGAAAGAGAAAAGCAAGAAAGAAACTAGTGCTCCTTCGTTGGAAGGGAAAAAAGAAAAAAAAGTCAAGGAAAAGGCAAGTGGTGTGAAAGACAGCAAGAAAAAGCAAGCTGGCAGTGATCAGGACCAGCACATTTCAGCAAAGAAAGAAAGGGTGGAAGAAAATTTTGAATTTCGTGCTAGGCAAGTAATACTGATCAAGCCAGGGGGCAAATGGTATGAACTAGAATACACCGACGAATTCTCTTCAGAGCCCCAAAATCAGATGCTTCTGTCCAAGTATAAGGCCTTGGCGCAAAAGCTGTACCAACATGAGACTGAGCTGTATAAGAATAAGACAGATTACCAGAAGGGGGCCTCTTCGGCGTGGATGAAAACTGTTGTGTCGTCTGGTACCTTGGCAGACAGGATGGCAGCAATGACCCTTCTCATTCAGGACAGTGCTGTCCACAGTCTCCAGTTTGTTGAGAACTTGGTAAACCTCGTAAAAAAAAAAGGCAGCAGACATCAGAGCCTAATGGCTTTGGATACTTTCAAGGAGCTTCTCATTTCAGATCTCTTACCAGAGAATCGAAAATTACGGTCTTTCTCGCAGCGCCCGTTTAACAACATAGAGAAGATATCGAGTGGCAACAGGGATTCAAGAGACAGACGGTTGATATTGTGGTACTTTGAGCATCACCTTAAACTGCAGGTGGCAGAGTTTGTGCAAGCGTTAGAAGCACTGAGTCATGATTCTCTGACAGCAACAAAGTCCCGAGCGCTGGCAGTCTCCCACGAGCTTCTCTGTAACAAGCCTGAGCAGGAGAAAGTTCTGCTTGTTCAGCTGGTAAATAAACTGGGAGACCCTCAGAACAAAATCGCCACCAAAGCCTCTTATCTGTTGGAGACGTTACTTAACAAGCACCCAAATATGAAGGTAGTAGTGTGCAGTGAGGTGGAGAGGCTCTTGTATCGGTCAAACATTAACGTGAAAACTCAATATTATGCCATTTGCTTTCTAAATCAGATAGTCCTCAGTCATGAAGAAAGTGCTTTGGCTAACAAGCTGATAACTTTGTATTTCTGCTTTTTTTGGAACTGCATTAAGAAAAAAGATGTTGAATCCAAAATGCTCAGCGCTCTTCTTTGCGGGGTAAACAGAGCTTACCCTTATGCTGAGACTGGTGATGAGAAAGTGAAAGAACAAATGGACACATTGTTTAAAGTTCTACATCTTGTGAACTTCGGTACTGGTGTCCAGGCCCTGATGTTACTGTTTCAAGTGATGGACTCTCAGCAGACTGTATCGGATAGATACTATGCAGCACTATATAAGTAAGTGACAGGTTTGCATTGTGTTTTATGAGGTAGTCACTATTAACTTAAAGTTGTAGAAACACTTACTTTGCTTTTAACGTCTTGAGAGTTTTGTGTCTCGTTGGCTAAAAATTTCTGATATTTTGTATGAGCTAGAAGAAAATGCACATGACTTCTTTGACTTAACATGGGGAGAAAACAAACAGTAGTGATAGGTCGTGAGAACACATGTCCATTTCATCTCTTGCACTGTTTTCTGGTGGCATGTTTTAATTCCAGATGTTTTTCGAAACTAGTAGATAACCACTTCTTCTGAAATCACTTTTACAGGTACTGTGGTCTAGTCATGTAATAGCCTAAAATCTTATTTCCTTGTTTTCATATGGGGGGCAGGGAAATATGTTAGCAAAATGTCTAGCTTATTTAATTTGTGTAGTTGGAAAGCCTTGTGTTATAAAAGTATATATATAT